TTTTTTTTTTGCGGAACCAGGGATTGAACTCAGACCCTTGCACTTGCCAGGCAAGCACTTATTCTACTGAGCCATCTCCCCAGCCCCCCCGGGTCATTTTAACTTGGAGATTTTTTTCCTTTCTTGTTATTTTTTTGCCTTATTGAGTTGCAAGAATTTTCTCTCTCTCTCTCTCTCTCTCTCTCTCTCTCTCTCTCTCTTTTTGCTTTTGAGACAGGGTCTCACTATGCAGTTCAGGGTAACCTTAACCTCACTATGTAGGCCATGTTGGACTCAAACTCACAATAGTCCTTCTGCCTCAGCCTCCTGTGTGGTAGGATTACAAGCATGCACCACCACACCCAGCTAAGCATTTCTTGTAGTTGAAAAATTCAATTACTATTAGTTTCTTCACCTTACAAACAGTTAAGCAGCTGCCTTTCAATACCTTTTGGGAAGAAAAACTCAAATGGTAGCGTGCTACTCTGCCAGTGAGCTGCGCCCAGGCCGCAGCCTCCTCGTTTTGCAGTTACCTCACACAACAGAAGCAAGTCCTGAGCCAAAGATTCTTTTCTCTGCTTGAAGTTTAGGGTCTGCAACTGGTTTTCAGACAAAAATCCCCAGGTTTTTAAGATTGTCATCATTTCAGCCAAGGGGATTTTTAAGATGGTCCTCCTGATAAACTCAACCAGAATCTCATCCATCTCTCTGGCACTAGAATAAAACAGAGAGCACAGCAAAGAATTTATCAAATAGAGCATCCTAAGTTTACAGACTATCTCAGTAGATTTTTCAGCCAGGATTTTATTTGGAGGTCAAACACCCAAATGCTTCCCCTTCTTTAGCCACACTGTCACTAGTGCTTCAGCACAAAGATTTAATTATCTCTTTAAGTCATATGTTTAAGTTTCAGAATTTAAAAAAAATAGTGCTCCTGTGGTTTGGATGGGGTCTGTCTCCCAAGGGTTTGGGTGCTAGAAGTGTGGTTCCTAATGGATGCGGGTGACGGATCTTTAAGAGGTGGGGACAATAGTGGGTGAATGGGTCACATAGGTGCCACCCTATGAAGGGATGCTTTTCAAGGGACTAGGTCAGGTCACCAGAACGGGTTATGAAGTGAGGTCAGTTTTCCTTGTGCTCACTTGATTCCTTTCCAGCCATGTGCATCTCACACACATACTATCACCATGATGATGGGCTTTTTATTTATTTTTTTATAAGCAGAATATATTTATTGAGGGAAAGAAAACTCCTGTCAGAGAGAGGGACAGGAGGGGGGCCTGAGTGGGTAGTCCCCAGGAGATGTTGGACTTTCAACCGTGAGCTAAATGAATCTCTCTCTCTCTCTCCCTCCCTCTCGCCCCCTTTTTTCCCCTCACTCCCGCCCCCTTTTTTCTCCCTCACTCCCTCTCTGTTTTTGTAAGTATGCAGTTTCAGGATCTTCTTTTAGTAATACAAAATGGACCAACACAGGTGTTATGTGCCCTTTCTTGACTAGAGCTCTTTGATCTTCATTCATTGATTCCTGTATTTCTGGGACTTACGAATACCTTGTTGGATCAAGTTGCATCTTTATCTAAAAAGACAAGGCCTGTGCAGTATCCATTCTGGTGAGGAGAAAGACAACATTAAAAAAAAAAAAAAAGACGAAATAATAGGGAGAAATGCAATGAGAAAAATGGAATAATGTTAGGCAGGAGTGATGTGGCAGTGGAGGTAGAGAATTAGGCCTCTAGGAGCTGACATTTGAGGCCAACCTTGGAGGAGGAATCAGGGGGTGGAAGATTTCCAGTGCAAAATCCCTGGGGCCTTCAAGGAGCAGGGGGCAGTCAGTCTCGGGTGAGGTAAGAACAGAGAAACAGTGAGGTCTGAGGTCACTGCAAGGATTGTTGCTTTTATTCTGAAGGCATTAACAGAGGTGGTCTATGGTGTCACTTAGGTTTTACCAGGATCCATTTGGGTACTCTAGTGAGATGGTAGCCCTAGGAGGCAAGGGCAGACAGAAGGAGGAGACACAGTGCGAGATCATAAGTAATAGTACAATTATAACAATATATTGAAATGAAATTCATTAAAAAAGTATGAATTCTGTCTCAAATTTACTGTGTAATATTTTAGTTGACTGTAAACTGCAGAAAGTGAAATTACAAGTAAAGGAAAAGTACTGTAATCTGTTTATCCTTTAACAGATGTGCAGTTAATAAACCACTACCTCGGTTTTGTCTTTTTTTTTGTGGAACCATGGATTGAACTCAGGCCTTTGCACTTGCCAGGCAAGCACTTATTCTACTGAGCTATCTCCCCGGCCCCTGTTTTGTCTTTTATTTTGGGTTGGATCCCCAACATTGAAAACAAACAAACGGAGGGACATGATCAGGACCATGAAAGTGAAGTTCCACTTGTTGCCTTGTCCACAGACAAAAGCGTTCTGTCTTCTGGTCACGGTTAAAATATTCACCATGATCTATAAGGTCTTGTATTGTCTGGCCCTTGTTTGCCTGTCCCTGGCTTTTTGAGCTCCAGCTATACTGGCTTCTTAGTTTCTATAATACAGAACCATAATTGCTCCTGCCTAGCAGGTTCTTTCTGTACATTGTCCCATGGGTCATTTCCTGTTGCCATTTAGGTGTATTAACTTCCTGGTGCTGTGGCATATACCTGAGACAAGCAGCTTAGGAGGATAGGTTTATTATGGCTCACAGTTTCATAGGTTTCAGCCCACGGCATTGGCCAGGCTGCTTTGGGCTTGTGACAGCATAGAATCACGGTGGGAATGCATGGTGGAGGTAGCCTCTTCATCTCAGGGCAAATGGATAGCAAAGACAGAGCTAAGTGGCTGGGGTCCCACAGCTTCCTCCTACTTGGTTTGACCTCTCAGAGGTTTCATTACCTCCCAGCAGTACCATATGGTGGAGGCTAATTAGCACATGGGGCTTTAGGGGACAATTTTATATCTATATGGTCCCATCAGGTATCAGTTTAATGACTGCTCACAGAGATTTATTCAAAAGTTATTTCCTCACCTTCCACTACTTATTACCTTTCCAGAACTATCCGAAATTAACTTTATTATTTTATTACACTCATAACATTTCACTGTGCCCTGGGGCACTACAAATGTCTTATTGATCGCTAAACCCTCTAGAATCTACAACTGTCAGGATGGTCGATTCAGTAAGCCTAGCAAGCCTGAGAACCTTCATGTATGCACTAGATAAATATTTGTAGAATGAATGACTAGATATTCTTCATAAGCAGCATGTCAGAGAAAATTACCTGGTGAAGGATTAGGGTTCAACCGTCAGTGAAATATAAAACCACACTTTAAAAATACTTAGGAGGCTTGTTGAAATGAACATTCCTGAGCCATAAAGTTAAACTCGGGGGAAGGTGCCTCTAAGGATGAATCGAGATTCTTAAAGTGCACTTCGAGATTCTCCATTGTGGGTAAAGTTCATCACAATGTCATAGAGAAACCTGGTAAAAAGACAGCACTTAATCTTACCACCAGTTTCAAAACCTTTTAATAAAACTTTAACAAACCTTTTCTCTGTGAATATCTTTTAAGTCTTTTTCCCCACTGGCGCTTGAGCGCAGCGCTGGGCATACAGCGTATGTTCAAAATTCATTTGCTGGATGAACTACGGCAAATAGCTTCTAAGTAACGTTCGTGGACACATACACTGCAGCCACAGGGGGCATAAGAGGTGATGCGAAAGCCCCCACGAATAAAAAATAACGGAAGCCAAAGGGAACTAAAGACCAAAACCCCGAGCCCGCGAGGCGGAACCCGCTCTTCTCGCCACAGCGCAGCGGGTCGCGACCCTAGCTGCACGCCCCACGTAAGTCCCGCCCCACTACGGGCGGAAGTGACGCCATAGGATTCAATGTCCTCCGCCTCAGTCCCCTACTCCCAGCCCAAGCCTGAGCGCCAATCCAGCGCCTTAGGACACAACGAAATCCGTGAAAAAGCCGCCCCAGAGGCCAGGAGTCTGACTCCTTCAAGGCTTCCACCACCTTGCAGACCGATCTCATGCCGCTAGAGGCTGTCTTACCGGCCAACATCCCCAGCCGTCTCCTCAGCAACTGCTCCCGCCGAGGCGCCTTCAAAACCACCAATGATAAGTCGCGCCACCTCCAGGCTCCGCCCACCAGGCTAGGACTTTGGACTACAACCTAGGCACAGGGGGCGCTTTGGGGTTCACAACAGAAGCGAAACTCGCGAGCCCCCCTTCTGTCTTCTCGGGAGAAGAGCTTTTGTAAATGAAGGCAAGGTGTGTCACTAAATCTGTCTTTGGGTTCGGTGTACTGTTTTCGTGCTGCCCATTCTCGTTGGATCGCTGTGCGTCCCCCGCAGCGCAGGAAAATGGGCTGATCGAGGGTGGGAGACGCATGCGCCATCGGGCGGTGGGGGGTATTGGAGGCGGGGCGAGCCTAGCCGGGTTGAGGTGAAGAGTGCCGCGGCTCTGGCTTCCTGCGGGTGGCGCGCCTAGTGGCTCAAGCTGTGGAGAGCCTTGGGTCATAGTTTTCGTAGCCAACTCCGGCTTCAGCCTTCCCAGTGTGGCCGAGCGTCGGTGAGTCGTGGTGTCCGGGCGGCTCTGAGAAGCAGCTTCTTCCTGGGCCTGACTGCGGGTGCGGGGAGGCTGGCGTTCCCGCGTCCCTTGCGTCTCCTGCGACTCCGCGGCGCCTGGTCCTGCGGGTTCTCGGAGACGGGCCCAGAGAACTCCTCCGCTTCCCCGGTGGTCCTTGGTCCCTCTTCGAGCCCTCTGGGCGCTCGGCTAGGGTGGCGGAAGTGTGTCCTAGAGTCTCCTCGGCGTCGGCCGGTGACGCGAGCCGGCGCGCTGTTGTCTCTCGCTGCCGGAATCCGCCCGCCCCTCGTCAGCCCGTGACCTTGGTCGGTGTCTGTCATTTATTCAGGATCTGGCTTGTAGGAAATGGAAGCTTTTAGGGCGATCTTAGCTGCAGAGTTGTCATCTGAGAGATCCCTGTCGGGCTGCTTGTCAGGGACTTAGACCTTCCGATTCCTCTTGCTGGCTGTAAATGTTCTCGTGCTGTTTTCTTAACAGGTGTTTTATGTAGGATCTTAAACAGATCCGTCGTTAAATGTATACAGGTTGGCGCTGTCAAAGGAATTCTGTTGCAACCGGCCAGTGCACTTAGTTGATCTAAAATCTTTACTTTAAAAAAACAAAACAAAACAGTTGAGTTGTGAACTAATTCTCAAACTTTAATAATCAGTATTCAGCGAACACTGGGCACTTAGCACGTGCATTTACTCACTAGCCTGTGCGTTCTTCAGTATGTATGGGCTGATGCTTTCCTGTGAAAGTCATGACTCGGCAGAGTAGTCAATCGAGAGTACTCAGTGTTCAGAGTGCTGGTAAATGATTGTCCCAGAAAAGCCACCAAAGGGTTAGTGATTCCAGAAAAACCATTCCTTGAGGAACTGTTTTGTCGAAGTCTGAGTAGGTAAGTCCTCCAGCAGCCTTCGTGCAGTCCTCCGAGAGCAAGAGGCTCTTGCTTTCGGTACCAGCTTGGTTTGACCTTTCGCCTAGGAATGTGATGGTTGAAATTTGTCACTTGGCTGTAATAAGTAGGAGTAGGTAGAGTTGGCAGGGCCCAGCTGTGTCTGCTGCCTCTGCTGCAGTGTAGTTCGATCCTTTGAAAAGTTGGAAAACAGTAATTCAATCCAAGCCGTTCTGAAATCTAGGCTTTTTAGAAGTCAACTTTTTTTTTTAAATCTTCTATTTTTAAAATTTATTATATTATTATTATTATTATTAATTTTTTTTTGCGGAACCGGGGATTGAACTCAGATCCTTATGTTTGCCAGTCAAGCGCTTATCCTACTGAGTCATCTCCCCGGCCATTATTATTATTATTATTGGCAGAACCGGGGATTGAACTCAAGCCCTTGCGCTTGCCAGGGAAGCGCTTATTCCACTGAACCATCTCCTTCGCCCCAACTTTTTTAAATATACATTTCACAAACATTTTTCCCTTTTTCTTTTTTTCTTTTTTTTCTCTCCAGGGAAACAGATTCTTTAGGCTGAACAATACTTTTCTGGGCGTGGCTTGTTTTTTGCTTTTTTTTTTTTTTTTTTAAGGCAGAGTCTTGCTATGTGTAGCTCAGGCAGGTCTCCAACTCATGGCAGTGCTCCTGTTTCAGCCTCCTAGGGCTGGAATTGACAGGCATGCACCGTCACGCTGGACTCTGCTTGTTTTAAATTTCTTTCCTGTGTAACTAGTAACGGTTTTTCCCAAGAAAAAACAGCTGGCATTAAAATGCAGGGTTCCCCATGTAATTATAGATTTGCTGAAGTCTTACTTGAATGCTTATCTAACCCTTTTACTAGCATTTCTTTTTGTTACTAAAATTGTGCCACCTGGTGGTTGAAATCTGCTATCATAGAACACTACTCAGAAAATTTTTTACCTGACTTGCATTAGACTGAGATGGAGTACATAAAATAAAACTATATATTTTTTATCTTTGTTGCTGGTACTCTGCTGATTCCATTTTCCCAGCCTAACCCAAGGAAAAGTTAAAACTGCTTTGTCAGGAGTGTATGTTAACTAGACATCAAAACATCAGGTCTTCAAGAGTTTTCCTGGATGGTTTTTGGTGTCCTTGTGCACAGACTTGAGGTGGGCAGGGCTGGCGTGGATAGTGAGGTATAACTGTGACAAGTTTACCCTCCTGCTGATTTGTAGATGCCAGTGGAAAGGCGAGACTGAAGATTTGTGCTTACCTGTACTCTTCTTCAGTTTGTAAAAGATGCTTTGAGTTATAATGTTAGAATAGGCTTTTTATTTATTTTTTTTTAGATAACAAGATAACAATTTTTTATTTTTGTTTATTTTTGAGACAGGGTCTTGCTATGCAGTTCTGACTGACCTTGAACTTACTATGTGGCCCAGGCTGGCTTAGTGTAACCCTTCTGCCTCAGCCTCCCAAGTACTAGGATTATGGGAATGTACTATCACATTCAGCCAAGATAACAATTTTGTTTATTTATTTATTTATTTATTTACTTTTGCGGAACCGGGGATTGAACTCAGGCCCTTGTGCTTACCAGGGAAGCGCTTATTCCACTGAGCCATCTCCCCAGCCCCCAATAGAATAGGCTTTTTAAAGTTGGCTGCTGGTAGGACTGAGGTTTTACATTTGATTAATTGTACGGAATTTAACCCTTTCAGTACAACAGGCCTGAAGCCCTGTCACTAATGAATATACACTTTTATTTCTGCCAGGCTGCTTATGTTCACAATTATTGTACTACCTCTTTGAAATAGTTTGTCTGTCTGTCTGTCTTTTTCTTTCTCTTCTCTTCTCTTCTCTTCTCTTCTCTTCTCTTCTCTTCTCTTTTCTTTTCTTTTCTTTTCTTTTCTTTTCTTTCTTTCTTTCTTTCTTTCTTTCTTTCTTTCTTTCTTTCTTTCTTTCTTTCTTGATGTGCTTTTTTCCCCCTTGAATGCTAGGGATTAAATCCAGTGCCTCCTGTGTACTCTGCCCCTGAGCTACACTTCCATTTGTATTCTTTCTTCTTTTCATACTTTTCTTTTCCTTTTGATAGCATCTTACTGTGTAATTTAGGCTAGTTTTCATTTCTGTGTAGCCCACACTGACCTTGAACTCATGATTCTCCTGCCTCACCATTCTGTAGTGCTGGAATTATAGGCAGGCATTACCACCCCTGACTTCCTTTTGTATTTTTAGTAATAGTAGATTTTTGTCCTTCAAGTGAGCATTTTATTTTATTTTAATTGTCTTTTTGAGCTAGGCATTGCTATGCAGTTCAGGCTAGCCATGAGCTCACTTTGTAGCCTAGGCTAGTCTCTTGATTTGCAATGATCCTCCTGCTTTAGCCTCCCTGGTTCTGGGAGCATTTTATTTTTCAAAGTCATGTAACACAAGTTGTAAACTCAAATATTTGAGAAGGCTGGGCATGACAGCACAAAATTTCATAATCAAGTAGTACGAGAATAGCAATAGTTATCACACTATATTGTTATCTTCAAAGTACTCTTTAACACTTAATCATGTGGTTCCTGGTGAGCACATTGCAACAGTTGACATCTGCCAGTGCAAGTTTAATCTTTTGTTTTCCAGTCTTGTCCCCAGAAAGGTCACAGGGCCACAGTCAGGTCACAGGGCCATTCAGTTCAGTCTTCCCTCTTATGTGACTGACACTTCTAGATAAACAAGTAATACTTTACATGTTGCACTATACCGTTTCAGATAGGCTCATGTATGTTGTTTCAAACCCCAAAAGATACAGCTTAAGAATGAGTGCTTTTGTAGAAGAGACTTGGGTGTCAGATGGTAGCCAAAGCGATAGGATTTGTAGGTAGCCAACGCCACACTTTTCTTTTCTTCTCAAACCTGTATCTCCTTTTGAATTCATCATGCTAACTAGGCTGTTTCTTTTTTGTGCCTCCTCACTTGCAGACTTAGCTACATTGGTAAATAGTCCCAATTTTATCACTGAATTTTTGTTTTAAACCTAGTGTGAGACCCATTTTCATTGTGAATCCTCAGCCTACAGCAATGTTCAGATTGTAATGCAATCCATCCATCTATCCGTTCATCCATACTTCCTTTCATTTACCCAATGTAGTATTACCCTGTATTATTACTTCTTTGGAACTTAGGCCTAGAATTAATGCCTGATGAACTTGTAGCCAACCAGAGTTTTTTTGGAAATAGTTTTTCTCTCTTTGTGTTTCTGTCATTTACAAACTGTATGGAGACCTTTTACTTGGAACATGGGAAAAGTCTATCACCGTGAGAGTGTGTTAGGTCTTAACTCTTCCACGTCCTATTTGATGTGGGGCTTAGTTTTCCATGAACATGTAGGTATTGCATCTTTTGATGATAAAAAAGCAATTCTTAAGAGTTCAGCTGAATGGGAAAGGCTGTCCACTTCGTGTAGTTGTTCAGTTATAAGACTTGTCTAGTACATGGTAAGTGTTCAACAAATTATTTTCTCAGCTGTCAACAGCTTTTCAGGGTTTTGAAGAAACTTAAAAGAAGATAGAATATATATTTTGATTTTCTTTAGTTATCAAAAATACATTGAGTTACCGTAGTATCCTTTGAGTAGGAAGAATACTTCTGGAAGTTATCAGTGCTTAAATATGTTCTGAGAGCACAATGCCATTACTTTATTGTTGCATGTACTTTGTATTATGCCCAAGAGGACTGCAGTACCTCTAAGTATGTGCCAACAGAGCCTGGTGACTCAGGATGGTGGCACATAGGTGGAGAGGAAAGGGGAGGGAGGCAATGTCTAGTAAATAGGTATAGTGAAAGAAAGGAAAATGGGGGCCCGAGATATAGGTCAGTAGAATAAGTGCTTGCCTGGCAAGTGCAGGGTCTTGAGTTCAATCCCCAGTACTGCAAACAAACAAACAAACAAAAAAAACAAAAAACAAAAAAAAAAAAGAAAGAAAAAAAGAAAATGGTAAAATGAGAATTTGTTAGATAAAGATGAGTTTGTAAAAAAAAAAAAAAAAGATGAGTTTGTATAGCTCATGGTTAAGTAGTATATTCCTATCAAGGAGAAGAGAGCCA